CCTCCCCCTCTCGACCCCCCCCCCTCGCTCCCTCGTTACATTCCCCCTGTTTCTACGCTGGCGCCTCCCGTCCTCCCTTTGCCCGGATGAGCCGCGGGCCACCGGTGACGGACCCTGCTCCTGCCGGGGACGATGGCTTTCCTGAACCCCTCTCTCCGTCGGTTTTTCGACCACCGCCGGCGACTCCGGTGGCCGCCTCTGCCGGCCTGCTGAATGGAGCCACGCCGCGTGGGATCTTTCTCCAGCTCCAAGGTGAGGATGACATGCCGGACATTTCATTCCTTGCCTCGGCGCCAGGAACCCCTGCAACTGTGGCCCCAACTGCCCCGGCCGCTCCGGCCGCCCCGGCCGCCCCGGTCCCGCTCATCAGCCCCCCTGTCATCTCGGCCCCGAGTGCCGCAGCTCGTCCTGCGCCATTGGCCCGACCGCTGATCTACCGGTCGCTGAATGTGGCGGCTGCCGTGGCAGCCGCCGCCCTGGCCCAACCGCCCCCCCCTCCCCCCCCCGGCACCCTGCCAACCGCACTGCCGCCACCACCACCGCCACCACCACCACCAGCTGCCCTTGCTGATGTCCCACTTTCTCGGGCCACTCCTACGGCTCCCCCTTCTACATCGCCGAGGCCGGCCCCCCGTTTGGCAGTTGACACCCCGCCCAAGCAGTCCACCAGCCCGGCGCGCCGCGCGGCGTCGGTCTTCTCGGCAGCAGCCTTCCAGCGTCTGGACCACCTGTTCCCTCGGACTGCCGCCCATCCTGATGCCGACTTGAGCGTCTCCACGCTGACCGACACCGAGCTCGATGTCTCGGCCTTTGTGTGGGAGGAGATTTCCAGCTTCTCCCTCGATCCTCGGCCGCCAGCCCGGCTGCCACTTCCCGCCGCCGCCTCCGGCTCACCACCGGTCACGCCAAAGCGCCAGTTGGCCGGCCCAGCCGACGCACCTCAGAGCAAGCGCCCGCGCCCGGCCACCGGCACCGCCGGTCCCCCCCTAACCCCGCCCTCCTCTCTGGAAGCAGGCATCCCCCCGCCGATCACCCCGACGACGGGCATTGTCTCGGCTCCGACCACGCCGATCCCAGGGCTTGACCAGCCGGGCGGCGTGAATGCCGCGGTTGCTGCCGCCATCGCCGCCGGCCGAGCGGCCTCAGCTGCCATCTCAATCGTCCGTCTGCCCGGCCAGCAAACCCCCTCATCGGCCGGGCGGCGACTGCTTCGCGGCCTGGATGACAGCTGGTGGGCCACTCACGATACCAGTGACCTGCCGATGCTCGGTACCGAGGACATTCCCTCCTTCGTGGCGACGGCCACCCCGGAGACACTTGGCCCCGGCCGACGCCCGGCACAGCCCGGGGTTCAGGATGGCCCCGCCCCGCCAGGGCTCGATCTATCGCTCTTCGGGCCGCTGGCGCCGGGGCTCGGCCTGGGCCTCGGCGATCGGGCCGGCATGAGCCCGGCCTCCCTCCGGCGCATGGACCTGCTCTTTCCGCCCGATGCAGGTCTGGTCTCCGAGCCGCCATCCCTTTCGCTGTCCGTGTCATTTGATCCGGCGCCGAGATCGGAAGAGCGTCGTGTAGGCCGGCATGAGCCCGGCCTCCCTCCGGCGCATGGACCTGCTCTTTCCGCCCGATGCAGGTCTGGTCTCCGAGCCGCCATCCCTTTCGCTGTCCGTGTCATTTGATCCGGCGCCGACCAGTGTCCAGCATTCCGACCCACCTGCCTCCCCTCCGGCGGATGCATCGCTCTTTGAGGAGATCCCCCCTCTGGAAAGCAGCACCTACAGTGATCCCAGTGAGGCTAGCAGCATGGGGCCCTTGGCTTCGACCGATGGTCTCTCACTCATGGACCCGGCCCCCCAGTCATTCGGTGAGACTCCCCCCTTCGATGATGGTGCCCCGGCTCCCTTTGGTAGCTTTGATGAAGGGGTCAGCTTTGCCGAGCGGAAAGCCATCCCCAGCCCTGGCTGGGCCACCATCCAGCCTCCAGCCACCTTCTTCCCCATGCCCCTGGCTCCGGGGTTAGAGGCCGGCTCGCTTGGCCGGCTTGTCCAATCGCTGGTCAGTGGCCCCAGGCGGCCGGGCGGTGTCGTCAACCTGAATGGCGCTGCCACACACCCGGACGATATGGCCATTGGTGGGAGCAGTGTGCGGCAGCCACCGCCACCGCCGCCGGCTCTGGCCGTGCGTCTGGCCGCGCCTTTCGCCCTTGCCCGGGCCATTCGCACCAATGGCAGCGTTGTTGATGGCTTCTCCACACAGGAGACACCTTCGTCCGCTGCCCCGAGAGCCTCGTCACTCAATGCATTGCGCTTCCCGCTTGGTGTGCCGGGAACATTGGCGACCGGTGGCCGAGGGCGGCACTCATCATCGCAGACCGGCCCCTCTCGGTCGGCGTCGGCGCTACCCCCGGCGCCGCCCCCACCGCCGTCAGGACCGCCAGACTCCGAAGTGCCCGCCCTCCCCGGGCCGAATCCCGTTCCACCATCGTTGGCGCAGGCACTCTTCGGCGAGGTGACATCCATGCGCTTGACTTTGGAGGCGCGCCAACTGTTGATGGGCGCGTGCGTGTGGATCATGGCCTGCCTCTCTCTCTCTCTCTCTCTCTCTCCCTCCCTCTCTCTCTCCTTCTCTCCCCCTTTCTCTGTTTCACCTATTCCAATGTGGGTGTGCGCATGCCTCTCCTCCGTTTGCGGGAAGTTTTCTGACTTCCTCCCCCCTCCCCCTGGGCCTTAGTTCGCGGCAATTTTTCGACCAAGTCGCCGGCGACCTGGCCGGCTATGCACGGCACGCGAAACGCAAGACCATCGAGCCGGCAGACGTGTCGCTCCTATTCTCCCGGTACGTCATGCCCCCCTCCCTCCTGGGCCCCTACACAGTCACCTTGTCCACCACGATGTCCATCTTTCTAACCAGCAGGGGCGACCCAGCCAACGAATGCCCGAATCGGCGCTGCCGCTGGATCAGCTCATCCGGGAGCACCTGACGCATGATGATCGTGCTCTACTGATGCAGATCGCCCGTGGGGGGAATATCCTCCAGCCGCCGGGGCCCTCATTGTGAGGACACCCTGGTCCCTCTCTCCCAGGCCCCAGGAGGAGGGACGAGGAGGGGAGGAAAGAAGGCAAGAAAAAAAAAAAGAAGAAAAGAAGAAGGGGCCCATGCGTTTCCAACTTCTCTCCTGGACCATCCTCCTCGCTTCTGTGGCATATGGTGGCAGATGCCCGCGCATCGGCAATACAAGGGTGGGTGTCTCTCTTGGGAAGTGTTTTTATTTTGAAGGACATGCGCGTGGAAGAGGCATATGGGGGGAGCGAGCGGGAGGGGACGCGCCTGCGGTTCCACAGTTGGCCGTCGGACGGAGAGGGGAGATATGGTCCTGGACGGTTTGTGAAACGAGGCCAGGCCAAGGACAGGAAGGGGCAAAGCCTGAAGGGCAAACAGAGGCCCTCCCTTTGCCTCTTTCGGATTGGGGCCTGGGAGGGGGAGCATGAACGGGCCATCATCCCCCCTGCCGCTCCCTCAGCCCACCGGAAGATAGCATGCGTACGTGCACGGGCGCGCATGATGCGCGCGCGCGCACATGTATACATGCATACATTTGTGCAGGCACTTAGGCCTGCTTGTTCATGGTCTTGAGGGCAACCTTGACAATCAGGTTGGAGTCGGGGTTGGTGAGGTTCTCCAGAGGGACGGCATAGGGCATGGGAACGTCGGCCTGGGTGACGCGCTCAATCGGGGCATCAAGGTAGTCGAAGCTGAGGAGGAGGAGGAGGAGGGAGGGAGGGGAGGGAG